GCCCCAGTGGATAAAATTGACAAATTGTACCCCGTTCTGCCCGAAACCAATTCTACCCTTCTACTGTGTACGATATACCAGCTTCGAAAGTTTGAAGGCAGTCGGAAAAAGCATTATCGAGTTATCCCACGGAGAGGAATACCCCCACGTTATTATTATTAGTTATCGTAGTTAATGAGGAGTTACCGCACCGAATCCTACGATACCGTATCTATTACCTATTAGAGAAATGTATCGGCACTTACAATACTGATGCCATTCACGGGAGACACACACACATACCCAGTACCTATAGAATAAAAATGGGAATTCCTCTTGAAAAAGACAATTATACATTTGGCAAATTGGCACCTACACTTTGTAGTGCCATTCCTTACCTTCTTTTAAATAGGATACGCCTTTGTTGAAAGTTTGATGTCGATCGAAAGAGGCTTTCTCAAGTTATTGAAGAGAAATCAAAATTGGGAATAATCTGCGGTACGCTGGCCATAGGACGCTCACATTCGCCAATAATTACGCAAAACGTTCCCTAGTTACAACAAATCCGCGATGAAAATTTGAAGCCGATCGGACGAGGCATTCTCATTTTAAGGAAGAAGGGAAAAAATCAGGAAATTAAATGAAGGCACTCTTACAGGGACTCCTGATTGCAAGCAACGATCGCAGATCAACATAAAAATCAATCAAATAATTAGGGAGCCACAGAACGGGTGGTAATCAGAAGCGAATAGGACACACCAAGCCTGGCAATCAGGGACAAGTTAAGGGGTTGATCAGGATGCAACTGGCGACTCTGATTTCTAATCCCTTGCAATAATTGGATCACATATATACTAGTGGATACTCTGGATTAGGGGAAGGAGGAAGGGGGAAGGGGTTGGGGGAAGAATTGAGTTGGGGAGGGGAGGAATTAGTAGCCATGCCAGGGAGAGAGAGAGAGGGAGAGTAGAAACAGAGACAGAGAAGCAGAGACAGAAACAGACACAGAGAAGCAGAGACAGAGAAACGGAGATACAGACAGCCACAGATACAGAGACAGACAACAGTATCACCTTCCTATAAACATTAACATAATTAGGTATTCATAATTTAAGTTCTTGAATTGAGAAATTATAATTCACTCAAGCTCTATTTATTATTATTATTATTATTATTATTATTATTATTATTATTATTATTATTATTATTATTATTATTATTAGTAGTAGTAGTAGTGGTGATGGTGGTGGTAGTAGTAGTAGTGGTAGTAGTAATAGTAGTAGTGGTGGTGGTGGTGGTGGTAGTAGTAATAGTAGTAGTAGTAGTAGTAATAGTAGTAGAAGTAGTAGTAGTAGTAGTAGTGGTGGTGGTGGTGTTAGTAGTAGTAGTAGAAGTAGTAGTAGTAGTAGTAGTAGTAGTAGTAGTAGTAGTGGTGGTGATGGTGGTGGTAGTAGTAGTAGTAGTAGTGGTAGTAGTAATAGTAGTAGTGGTGGTGGTGGTGGTGGTGGTAGTAGTAGTAATAAGTAAGTAGTAATAGTAGTAGAAGTAGTAGTAGTAGTAGTTGAGTGGTGGAGTGGTGTTAGTTAGTAGTAGTAGTAGTAGTAGTAGTTAGTAGTAGTAGTAGTAGTAGTAGTGAGTAGTAGTAAGTAGTAGTAGTGAAAGTAGTAGTGGTGGTGAGTGTGTGGTAGTAGTAGTAATGGTAGTAGAAGTAGTAGTAGTAGTAGTAGTGGTGGTGGTGGTGTTAGTAGTAGTAGTAGTAGTAGTAGTTAGTAGTAGTGTGTAGTAGTAGTAGTAGTAGTGGGTGGTGGTAGTAGTAGTAGTAGTAGTAGTAGTAGTAGTAGTAGTGGTGGTAGTTAGCAGTAGTAGTAGTGTAGTAATATGTAGTAGTAGTAGAGTGTAGTAGTAGTAGTAGTAGACAGTAGTGGTGGTAGTAGTAGTAGTAGTAGTAGTAGTATGTAGTAGTAGTAGTAGTGGTGTAGTAGCAGTAGTAGTAGTGGTAGTAATGTAGTAGTAGTAGTAGTAGTAGTAGTAGTAGTAGTAGTAGTAGTAGTAGTAGTAGTAGTAGTAGTAGTAGTAGTAGTAGTAGTAGTAGTAGTAGTAGTAGTAGTAGTAGTAGTGGTGGTAGTAGTAGTACAGGGAACATTTGGGGACCGTCGATTCATCTAAGAAATAAAAGTCAGATTCCAGCCTCTTATGTTTTTCCGATATCAGTGGAGCAGCTGTCGGATTATGAGGTCAGAGTAGGAGTCAGATTCCAGCTGTATTGGCTGGACACAGTCTTGCATACATACATGCATACACCGGACGTATGTAAGCCGCTGTGTGTCTTATGTATTGCTATAATTGCCTGAGTACGACGGTGGTGTACTGAGTTACTTCGTGTATAGTGTTTCTTTGTATATATATATATATATATATATATATATATATATATATATATATATATATATATATATATATATATATAATATTCTCTCTCTCTCTCTCTCTCTCTCTTTTTTTTTTTTTTTTTTTTTTTTTTTTTTGTTTTTTACACAGGGTTTGACAAGGTTAAGGATCCCTAGCTTTATTGACAAGCTATTTACAGGTTAAGGGTTCCTAACTTTATTGGCAAGCTAAGCGCTGTTACCTACATCAGATCATTTGAAAGCATTTTTATTGTTAAGAGACATACAAGTAGGGAACAGGATGAAGTTGGAGCCATCTGTGGGCCAGCATTTTCATTTGATCAACTGACTTTATCTCGTTGACATCATTATGCTGTACGAATGTTTTCCATACTCGAGTCATCCTGGGTATGTATGATCTCAGATGGAGTGATGTTCTGGAGAAGGGTACAACCAGAGTGAAGTTGCTGCTTTCTGCCCGTCTTGTGGCATAAAAGCTTGTTTCACGCTGTCCTCGAAGTGGATCCAAGTGTGGCATTTTGACAATATTGGCCTTGTACATAACAGTAAGGCCACCCACATCCCTCCTATGTTGAAGGCTCTGCTGAAATGACAGATCTATCCAGGATGGGTCCAGGCGAGAGATGAGACGTCTTGCTCTGTTCTCTACTCTGTCAAGCAGTCGCAGATGAGAGGGGGGGGGGCAGGCAAACCAAGAAAGTGGAGCATACTCAAGGTGTGAGCGTACTTGTGCCTCGTACAGGATCTTGCAACCCCTACTATCAAGCAGATGCGAGATACGGCGAAGTGCTATAAGCTTCCTGGCTTCTCTCTCTCTCTCTCTCTTCTCTCTCTCTTCTCTCTCTCTCCTCTCTTCTCTCTCTCTCTCTCTCTCTCTCTCTCTCTCCTCTCCTCTTCTCTCTCTCTCTCTCTCTCTCTCTCTCTTTCTCTCTCTCTCTCTCTCTCTCTCTCTCTCTCTCTCTCTCTCTCTCTCTCCTCTCTTTCTGTCTCCTTCACTCTCTTCCTTCACTCTCTTCCTCCACATCACTGATCATGTTCTCCTGACAGTAACTAATGATGAAGCTGCCGTCAGTGGCTGTCAACAGCTGTCAGCGGCTGTCACTCGTCAGTGCCGACTAATGCTGACTCGCCGCTCCTCAGGCTGTCTTTTGCCTGTCTCAGTGACGCTGTCGCTGCCATTTGAAAATTCCTGGTGTTGGGGTTGACGAAGCGAGATGGATGGGGGAGGCGGTGGAAACTGGGGGAGAAAGAGAGAGAGAGAGAGAGAGAGAGAGAGAGAGAGAGAGAGAGAGAGAGAGAGAGAGAGAGAGAGAGAGAGAGAATGAGGTGATGTAGATAACAGCTCTTAGCTTGTCAATAAAGTTAGGAATCCTTAACTTGTAAATAGCTTGTCAATTAAGTTACGGATTCTTAACCTAACCTTGTCAAACCCTGTGTAAACAAGAGACCTTACCCCTTCCATTCCCAAGGCACTTTCCCTACCTCTTCTAATTTTGATACATATACCTACACTCTCCGTCTATCAAAGCTTTGTGAAGATTTCTTTGGCCTTGATAACATGAAGGAGGCTTCTGAAATCTTGCAAGTCTTGGTACTTTCTTAAGAAAGATAGTTTCTCTCCCCTTCCACTCAGTCTTCCATAATGAAACTCTTCATTTAGACCAGCATCAAGTCACCCAGCCAGACAGGCGATCAATGTTGACTGACGTACTTACATTACAGGGTTTATAAATGGTTTACTATACCGAGAAGATAATGTATCAGCAGCAGGTACAACATTTACCCATCCATATATTCTACTGTTTTCTGTTCATTATTCTGCGAGACCGAGGGACTGATTACCTCCTCTGCTTCAGTCTTCTGTTTATGTCTCTCTATTGCACTGATAAAACCACTCGCTGGCGAAACGAGTGGCTTTATCATAACATGTATTAGCTTAGGAAATTTATCAAGCCACTGACTTGATAACGATCTTGAAGAGCGAAATGTAGCCTCGATGTCTCATTAGTTTCTCGTCTTACTTAACACAGGCAAGCCGAGGAGGAAGCCTTTTAGAAGACACAAAATCAATACTCTTCGTTAACCTAAATTAAATGGTACAAAATGTCTTCTGACATACTGGTGAATCCAAGGAGAGAGGAAGCGAGAGGAAGAAAAGACGGTCCTTATATGTACAAGGTGGATGGACTACATGAAAGCATCGCTACAGTATAATACATTAATACATGTTCATCCTAAATTTTCAACTATCCACTGAACGGTGCTAACAACTGTCTTCACGTAGGAGGAACACCAGTAAATACTCTTTACCTAACACTTAAAATGCTAAGTATCTACACTTAAACACTTGCTGCGCTAAGTGTCTAGAATCTGTCTTCATGGTGGACAGAAAATTCTCTCTCTCTCTCTCTCTCTCTCTCTCTCTCCTCTCTCTCTTCTCTCTCTCTCTCTCTCTCTCTCTCTCTCTCTCTCTCTCCAGGTGTGTCACTGTGACTCCAGAGCTTCACTAGTATCAGTTTATATAGCACTTCCATTTACCCTCTATAAAACATAGTGAATGATTACTGTTTAGTTAATATTTATGTCACTAAATAAATACATAAAAATACTTACGAGACCTGTGTTCACCTCTTCTAAGTAACTCACTTATCTCAGCTCCACGACTGCAAGGAAAACACGAGATAAATAGGGGAAAAAATAGAATAACAAATTATATATATATATATATATATATATATATATATATATATATATATATATATATATATATATATATATATATATATATATATATATATATATATATATATATATATATATATATATACATACTATCAACAAGTGCCTTTGACAACCAGTAACTTATCATCTCAGAGAAATTAAGTTATTTATATTTAATCTTCCTGTGCTATTCAATACACATTGTATAATAAACATTCCCTTATATATTGATCAGAGTCATTATAATTTTAAAAGTAAAGAGAATAGGAAAAGTATCGGTATCGGCCGAAAACTTGGTATCGGCAAAACTTTGGTATCGTCCCATCCTTTTACATATATATATATATATATATATATATATATATATATATATATATATATATATATATATATATATATATATATATATATATATATATATATATATATATATATATATATATATGTGTGTGTGTGTGTGTGTGTGTATGTGTGTGTGTGTGTGTGTGTGTGTGCATGTGTGTGTGTGTGTATGTGTGTGTGTGTACTCACCTAGTTGTACTCACCTAGTTGAGGTTGCGGGGGTCGAGTCCGAGCTCCTGGCCCCGCCTCTTCACTGATCGCTACTAGGTCACTCTCCCTGAGCCGTGAGCTTTATCATACCTCTGCTTAAAGCTATGTATGGATCCTGCCTCCACTACATCGCTTCCCAAACTATTCCACTTACTGACTACTCTGTGGCTGAAGAAATACTTCCTAACATCCCTGTGATTCATCTGTGTCTTCAGCTTCCAACTGTGTCCCCTTGTTACTGTGTATGTTACTGTGTATGTGTGTGTGTGTGTGTGTGTGTGTGTGTGTGTGTGTGTGGATGTTGGTGTGTGTGTGTGTGTGTGTACTCACCTAGTTGAGGTTGCGGGGGTCGAGTCCGAGCTCCTGGCTCCTGTGTGGATGTTGGTGTGTGTGTGTGTGTGTATGTGTGTGTGTGTGTGTGTGTGTGTGTGTGTGTGTGTGTGTGTGTGTGTGTGTGTGTGTGTGTGTGTGTGTGTGTGAATTTTACACTGATTTAAGCAACAGAAACTTACAAGGTTTAGGATGGTGGTTGTTGAAAGTGGGCGAGAGTGGGCTTGGTGGGTGTAAAAGTGGGCGAGAGTGGGCTTGGTGGGTGTAAAAGTGGGCGAGAGTGGGCTGGTGAGGGTGTGGGTGAGTGGGTTATAGATGACTTATGACTCGAGTGATGGTGGCCACCTCAGCCTAGCATCAAGAAGGATTAAAACCTATTAATCTTGGCCTCAATGAGGAGGGAGTTAGGTATGGGAGGGAGTTAGGTGGGGAGGGAGTTAGGTGTGGGAGGGAGTTAGGTGTGGGAGGGAGTTAGGTGTGGAAGGGAGTTAGGTGGGGAGGGAGTTAGGTGTGGGAGGGAGTTAGGTGGGGAAGGAGTTATGTGTAGGAGGGAGTTTGGTAGAAAAGAGACAAGAGAGGGAGAAGTGAGGGAGAAGACGGTATGTTGGGGCGAGACTGTGGTGGTGAGAGGAGAGATGGTGAGTTGGAGAGGGAAAAAGCAATGGAGAGAAAAGAGATGAAGCGGAGATAAAAAGAGGCAGAAAGATGTAAAGAATAAGGAAATAGAGAAGGAGTGAAGAGACAAGGTAAAAAGGAAGAGGTGTCACGAAAGTAAAATATGAAAAAAAAACAGAATAGGTAGATTTACTTTTATTGAACAAAGGTGGATAGTGGGAACTAAAACTAGTTAAGTTACCCTGTGACCAGGATCATGAAACTCTTTTAACACTGGCAACTAGGCCTGGCACCGGGCGTTACTGTTGACTGCCTGGCCAACCAGGCTGTTGTTGTTAGCGTTCCGGTGGCTAACATAACCATCACAATCTGATTGGTTTGGTATTTGGGAATAATGAGTTATTTAGTTTCCTCTTGAGGACTTCTGATATCCGCTGGCAACACTTGAAGAATCCAGACGCACGGATAGTGACATAGTGTTCTTTTATTGTGCCCATGGTGCCCCTGGTTTTCACTGAATTTCTTTTACACTTTCCCCGATATCTTTCATTCCGATGCGTGTTTATGGTAATATGCAGATTAGAGGTCAGACCCTTAAGCATCCCCTCCGTATATAATATCGAGTATCTTTCTCTCCCTATCTCCAGACTGCATATAATCAGTACTCTGATGCTTTCCCAGCAGTTTAAATGCCTTAATGGCTCCGTGTTGCCAATAAACGATCTCTGTATCTGGTCCGGCACTGATTTCTGTCTTGCCCTGCAGAACGCCATAAACAGAACTCAAAGCGAGACAGCACAAGTGACTTGGATATTGTCACTAGTGGCAATATCTCTCCCATTGTTGAACGTTCTTAGTATCCAACCAGTCATCCTTTGAGCATTCGCAAAATTTG